AGAAGAGATTTTCCACTTAATTAAAAACCATCCCCAACCAACTAATAGAAAACACAATCAAATGGCTTCTGGCCATGGAGAATTTCTCTTTATAACAACTTTAATGTATACATATATTCAATTACTTAACAGCAGAAGTAGAAAATCAGCTGAGTTTGTTGTCTCCTTTGTTCACAAGGATGTATAGTCTGGCTATAGACAACATCAGATGCATTATGTTGTGGTAAGGCCAGAAGAATCCCACTCGGTACAATGTTCAAACATTTCCCGCTATGACGGAATATTAAAAAAAGACCCACATTTGCTCTGTTGGTAAAATGAACAAATTGATTTGAGAGTTCAGACCATGGAAACACAACGGATGAATAATGGTCTTCAAAACAGTATTTTTGCATGGATCCTATTTTCATGACAAAGACCACAAGATTAGGTTGTAAAGCAGGACCCACTTAAAAAGTCCCAAATCTATTTCTCCATTAACTTCTTACTCTGAGCAATGGGCACATGAAACAGTTTCGGTTATTTTGCACTCAGCCACTGAAGCACTTGTCCATCTTCTCAAATCCAGAATCCAGCTCTGAACATCCTGTGTGTGTGTGTGAGACCCTCTGCTGTCCATCTCATCACAATCTAATACATCTCAAACATGATATCATCTTCTTCTTCCTCTTCCTCCTCCTCATCCTGTGGATCAACAGTTAATATTTAGAACATCTGGATGCACAGTTGCATAATTGAATACAAAAGTAAAAGTAAGTTTTAAAGTTTCCTAACCTCATCCCAGTCCAGATTGACCACTTCTTCGTCACTGCTGCTTTCTCAATGTCTTCATCTTCTGAATCTGTGTGAAGTTAATACATGTGGACTGAGAAGACAACTTTTTACACCTGAGTGCAGCAAATAGAATTTTCTTTTTTATTCTATCAATGATATCCTGTTATTCTGTCTGGACAAAACTTACAAAGTGAACTATGACTTTATTGACTTTGCACCACTGACTGACAATGTAACACTGACTACACACTTATTAAAATCTAGTGCTTTAACCTTCACTATAAGGCCACCTGTATTTATCAGAGGTTTGCATTGGTCACATCATCAAAGAGTGTGTTACTTCATGTGAGCTGTATCAACAGTTCAACTTACCGATTGGTATGTTCAAGCATGGTTCTTCACCGACCTCAACTTCAATTTCTTTGACATTGAGGTACCGACATTTCTGCAAAAAATAGGTATATTGTGAATTTAAAAGAAACTAATTAAAAATGAATAGAAATACAAATGGTGGCTTGCATTGCTTACACTGGGGTTATGTTTTTGAAAATCGCTCTGCTCTGCTGCGCGTCAACGTCTGAAGAATGTAAAAGGTGACATGGTTTTAAATTTAATAAAAAAACGACCTAGATTAATAAAAAACATTTCAAGAAATTTCTTATACCTTATACCACTTCTCCAGCTCCATTAAAGTATTTTCTGAAGTTTACTTGTACTTTCTCTTTATACGTTCCTTCTCCTTTATAGAGAGCTTCTGCCAACTTTGGTTGACCTTTAAGAAGCGCTCCTTTGCATTTGGAATTCCTCCTGCAGAAGTTCCATCTGCTTTTGCAGAAGATTACATTACCAGATCTGTGAGTGAAGAATAAAAAAACAGTCGCAAATTTGTCTTCGGAGAACAAACTGGTGATTTCATTTGTTTTAATGAATCCTGAGGCACAAATGTTGTTTGACGTTGCTCACCGAGATGGCATCTTGGGCTCACCAGGAAATTGTATTGCATGCCTCACTTTTCTATTAATCCCCTGCACATCAGAAATATTTTTAAACGAGAAAGTCAATCGAATGTAGTTTTTACACATAAGGGGTACAGAATCAAACAGTTTCTCACTGACTATAAGCTGTCGTTTAATATGTGGCATAGTGAAGAACAGAAACATCCTAATGACATAGAACAATGAACAATACAGCAAATAGGATCAGTCAAATCTAATAAAAGCCCCCTCCAACCAAAATTTCTTCTTACCTTTAGTTTTTTAGGTCTTCTGATGCCATTCTCATTTAGGATCCATAGTACATAGCACATAGCTCATGACTAGTACTGGCTGATGTGAATACTTAGATCTGGGGTGTCTGCAGACACCTTCTTCCTCTATTGGGACGGCAAAATGTATTCTTACCTTGCCTGTTTAGGTTTTGATGCCATTCTCCTTCAGGATCCGCTGCTGCTCCTCCTTAATCCAAAGTCTGAGGAAACATGAACATCATCGTCACACAAAGTCTACCAGCATCAGCTCAACGCTGCAACTGTAGTCTTCTAAAATGACCCACCTTTAGATATTCATTCAGCTCAACCGTGTACTTTCTTTTCAACTGAAAGAAATGAAGCAAATATTGCATTCAGATTCAGTTGATTTTTACTAAATGGCATGATAATGTTGATTTCAGAGTCCTGTGGTGCAGCAGTCAGTTTTTGTTGGACCGTCTGTATGAAGTTTGTGCGTGTGTTCGTACCGTTTTGCAGCGCACCCTGTACTCCCCCCTCTGTCGCTCAGTCAAATCTCGCCAGCGTTTGGCCAAACACTCACATAGTCTTTTTTGGCGATACCGCGACATGGACGCTATTTGCTCTTTGCAGAATAATATTATAGCCATTTCTAAAAAGATACACATACACAATCAAATATAAGTCACAAAAGGTGAAAAAAAGCCTAGACAACATAAGACAATTTTCAAGACTTTTGTACAAAAGTTAAATAAGTTTCGCTGGTCCGCCAAAGGTCTTCTTCATATCTAATGGCAGACAGGAAATACTGAGCATGTATCCCTTGGAACTGCCGCACCCTCTAGTGGATGAGGAATGTAAATGTGGCCAACTTTAAAGAGCACCTAAAATGACACACACCCTTTCTGTGATGCCCCTTCTTTGTCAGGGAGGCAAGAAAGAGGGTGCAATCCAAACCCGAGCATCACACAGCACGTTTGAACTGAGTGGGAGTGGCTTGTGCTCCATATCAATTAAGTATAGTGGTACACCACATGTAACAACAGTCTGATTAACAATACAGAACATCAAACACATTCCATATGGCTTACCACGGCTGTAACCAAATACCATCTCTGCCAACACTTAAATGACAGTACATCCTCATCTACTCTGGTGGCAGCAGTTATTTTTTCATCCACTTGGATGACACTTCACAATAAAAGTTCAGTGAATTCTTACTAAAAAACTGAACTGCGATCTAAGTACATGATTCTACAGTGAGTGGTAAATATGATAATAACAGTGAAAGATTTGTGAACATCCAAACAAAGCAAAACAAAGGAATCAAAGTTCAATTCAAATCACTGTCACTGAGGTGTGTGTGTGTGTGTGTGTGTGTGTGTGTGTGTGTGTGTGGCTTACATAGGAGGTTTGGCAGGCAGACCTCCGCACCTTCGGTATGCTGTTCACCCTGGTTTAAAAAGAGAGGTCACACATCAATTTGAAGATAAAATTTAGAACCATGCACCAGTATCGCATAACTGCTACCAAATATGAATAAATATGAACTGTATTATATGAAACATGGATATTATATTAATTGGTACTTAGGAGGAATAAATCATGCAATCAGTACATAGCACATAGCTCATGACTAATACTGCCTGATGTGAATCTGGGGTGTAGACACCTTCTTCCTCTATTGGGACGACAAAATGTATTCTTACTTGCGTTGTTTAGGTATTTTTGATGCCATTCTCCTTCAGGATCTGCTGCTGCTCTCCTTATCCAAAGTCTGAGGAACATGAACATCACCGTCACACAAAGTCTACCAGCATCAGCTCAACGCTGCAACTGTAGTCTTCTAAATGACCCACCTTTAGATATTCATTCAGCTCAGTCGTGTACTTTCTTTTCAACTGAAAGAAATGAAGCAAATCTTGCACAACTGAAAGAAATGAAGCAAATCTTGCATTCAGATTCAGCTGATTCTTGCTGTAACCGGACATGATAATGTTGATTTCAGAGTCTTGTAGTGCAGCAGTTAGTTTTTATGGGGCAGTCTATATGAAGCAATTTGTGTGTGTGTGTGTGTGTGCATTCATACCGTTCCGCAGCGTACACTGTACTCCTCCCTCTGTTTCTCAGTCAAATCTCGCCAGCGTTTGGCCCAAACACTCACATAGTCTTTTTTGGCGATACCCGACATGGACGCTATTTGCTCTTTGCAGAATATATTATAGCCATTTCTAAAAGATACACATACACAATCAAATATAAGTCACAAAAGGTGAAAAAAAGCCTAGACAAGCCTAGAAAACATAAGACAATTTTCAAGACTTTTGTCACAAAGTTAAATAAGTTTCGCTGGTCCGCCAAAGGTCTTCTTCATATCTAATGGCAGACAGGAAATACTGAGCATGTATCCCTTGGAACTGCCGCACCCTCTAGTGGATGAGGATGTAAATGTGGCCAACTTTAAAGAGCACCTAAAATGACACACCCTTTCTGTGATGCCCCTTTCTTTGTCAGGGAGGCAAGAAAGAGGGTGCAATCCATTTTTTTGAGATACCCTCCATGGACGCTATTTGCTCTTTGCAGAATAGATTATAGCCATTTCTACAAGATACACATACGCAACCATATCGAAATCACAAAAAGTGATTAAAAACTATGATTCTACAGTAAGTAGTAAATATGACAACAGCGAAAGAGGTGCAAGCTGCAGATGTGTGAACATCCAACAAAGCAAAACAAGGGACTTCAAAGTTCAATTCCAATCACTGTCACTGAGATGGGTGTGGGTGTGTGTGTGTGTGTGTGTGTGTGTGTGTGTGTGTGTGTGTGTGTGTAGCTTACATAGGAGGCTTGGCAGGCAGACCCTCTGCACCTTCAGTATGCTTTTCACCCTGATTTAACAAGAGGGGTCACATATCAATTTGAAGATAAAATTAAGATTAAGAACCAGTGTTATATAAGTGTAACCAATAACATGTGTCCTTACAATGAATATGAACTTTACTATATGAATATGAATATTATATTAATAGGTATTTGGGGGGAATAAACCAAGCAAATAGTACATTGCACTTCATGACTAGTGATAGCTGATGTGATCATTTACATCTGGGTCACCTAGAGACACCTTCTTCCTCTTTTGGGACAACAGATTTACTTCTTACCTTGCGCTCTTTATGGCCTTTAGGTCTTTCGATGCCATTCTCCTTCTTATCGAAAGTCTGAGGAGCATAAACATCATCATGAGGTAAATCCCAGCAAACCATGGAAACAGCACATTCCAGCTAATGACTACTACTGGCTTGTGTGATCACTTACATCTGGGGTGTCTGCGTCCGTATCATTTGGACATTTGTATTGTTTCCTGAAAGACAAAAAATTTGCTTGACACTGAATACACACCGGCAGCCTTCTGGGTCAAATCACATGTGTTTATGCTGTATTGTATGTGTGTTCATTTACTAAATTAACTTAACTTAATTAACTTTTTTTACTTTACCTGAATTCCAGCACCCTTGCCTTATATTCTTTCATTGCAAGCAGGTGTTTCTTCACATATTGAGCCTGTGATTCAAAGAAAAAAGTCAGTATGTCATGATGTAAAACTGAGGCCTAAGGCAACGCTGAGTGAAAAGAAGTGCTGTTTCAGAAGTAGCCTCTCATTGACCATACCTTCTCTTTGCTCGGGAGTACATTGTACTTCTTGTACAGGACCTCCACTACCTTTTTGTGGCTCATCTCTGGGTGCTGCTCTTGAAACTTAGCACAGTTATCTTCATAAAACTTGGCATTCAAAGGAATGGGTCTCTTTGGGAAATCTGGATGGAGCTGTAGCAAAAATGGCACACTGAAAATTCCCAGCATGAAACCTATATTTTTGTATGACAGGCTGCAAGTATTTATAGTATTTATAAAATTGTGCTGTGCTCACCTTACTGATCAATGCAGGATTTGAAAAGACATCTTGAGCTTCAACAATGAGCTCTGTGATGGACCGAAACTTGCGCATCTGAGAAACAACAACAATCAGGATATTACAAACGGATAGACCCTACAAGAGGTAATACTCTAGCTAACTCTGTATAAGATCAATGCAAATTTATACTGAGAATGACAGTTCATTCTTGCATCCTGCAATTGACATTTAAGATTTTAACATCTGCCAAAGTATATTTTGGGATATTATTGAAAATTCCACAATAGCAGCAGCTGAGTGGACCCTGTGATGATTTTTTATTTTTTTGTCAACTGAATATGTAGCGTTAAACTGTAATTCACCTTGTGCAAAATCTCTCCCCACTTTTGTTGGCAAGCTTCAGGAGAGAAAGGAGGGAAAGCCACCTTATTCCAGTCCACAGTTTTCAGTCCTTTAGTATAAGCGCACGTTCTGTAACGTTTAGGAGTGTTGATTTCGATTGCAGCCAAAAGCTTCTGCAGGTTTTCAATGGTCCAGCCTGTAGTCAAAGCACAGGGACAGAAAGGCCAGGCAAATAATTGAATTAATCACATTGCAACTGACAAGGGTTATTTGCAAGGGATATTGCAAAGGAAGCCACATGACTATTTAGTCATTCGTGTAATTTAAGTCATTATGAGTGCAATGTCAGATGGCAAAAATTTATTTGAGTGAATATGTTATGCAGTTTATTTAATTGTACTCACCAGATTTTTCTGTCTCAAATTCAGCTCCACTCATTTTCCAATAAAACGTGTTTCTTGCTGAAGTCTTTAGCTGGATACAAAGTCGGCAGAAGTTCAAGTCAATCCATGTGACTACCGGTAAAACAACATTAGCTAGTCGGCTTACCTAGCGAGCTCAGTTTAGTCACCGACGTGACGAATTAAGCACAACCAGGCTATATTGAAACAAAGGTTATCTTAACGAACTGCCCTCGTTGCCGTCACGTTAATTTGCAGAATAAACACACGAAACAGCAGAGGAACGTGGTTTGTGTATTTTTTAGGAGACTACATTTCTAGGCGACAAGTTCCTGTTGAGAGAACAACCAATCAGAGACAAGAAAAGAGAAACGTCACCCAAAACTGATCGAAAACACCCAATGAAATTACGCTTCTTTTTCTTCTTTGTGGTTTTTGGCAGATAACAAAACACGCAGACCAGCGTTAAGGGTGCAAAGCGCCACCTATTGCCCCGGAGTGTGTAGAGTCATACACAATCTTCAGAATACTGATAAAGGTAGTATATTACATTTATAAAGTAATGTAAATAAATATATAAATAAATGAATGAATAAATAAATCTTCTTTCATTGTCTTGTCTCCAGAGGACAACAGCACACAAACAGGGCAAAATTTTTTTAATACTAATTCCCTTTATCAGTTTCTCTATCTTAAAGAAATGGAGGAATTGCATGTATCATTTTTCACAATAACCAAGACTATTTGAAAATGAATAGTTATTTAATGTGAATAGCTGCATTCCTGATTTATGATGGATTATATAGATGTAGAATTTCCGTTTCACACAGAAAAACATGTATCAGAATGCATTGGATCCGAAATCAGGAACTATGGGTTTATAAAAATCTCATAACCAATAAATAAAACAGGCAAAAATTCATAAAGAAAAACAACAAAGGTTTATGTTACTCAGGTTTTAATCAATCAAATTGTGTCATTAACCATTCTGACTTCATGGGGGCCAAAGATCAACTGCAATAAGTTGATCTTAAAGCAATAAAGTAGCCTACTAGATCTAACCACGTCAGTGAAAGTAATTTGGTGGGTATATTGGGAGGTAGTTTTTTATTATAGAGAGAGATGACAAGAAAATGGCAACCTTACACACAATATAAATTTTAACAACACACAAAAATTCTACATTTTCTCTCTCCACGTATTGGCATATTGTCCTTTAGCTCGCCACCGGCACCAGTTTGATCACTCCTGCTAAATATACTTTGCTTGCATCATTGCCTTTTAAATCAGGTATTATTTAATTCATTCATTCATTCATTTGAATTTTACTCACCTCAAGCAAGTGAATACAATAATAAGTTAAGTGACACATGTTACAACAATACATTCAGTGTGAGATTGCCTGGAAAAACATACTATTTTGGCTTTTAACACTTCAATACCTTTCACCCAGCATTCAGTCGGTCCATTTTTGGAGTGCTGGCATGATTGAAGTTTTCATTTGTAAGTGCCTTGCCTCATGCCTTTATGCACTTATTTTTTGTAAAAACATGTCGATGTTAAATGAATATTTCCAGCTTCAGTAGTATATAAGGCACAATCTTTTAAAAACAACACAACATAATGCAAAGAATCTACCTGTGAGATGTTGAAAACGCTTCAGGAATGTTTTACCAAGACACTTTTCTTACAGGATATTAATGTTACCCATTTTGTCGCTACAAAGATTGAATCTATAGCTGCATTTTTCATAAAAAAAATAAAACAAAACATGTCTGTGCTCATAGATGAAACATTAATTTGAGCAATATATAAAATAAATATGTTTTTGTTAAAGTAAAAGATTTATGGCAGCAGTCATGGAAGACATCTACAATGGCATTTGAGATTCACAGTATACATCCTTCCCTGGCTCCTCCTCAAATGTCACTTTGGCATCGTCTGCGTCCAACTAAAACACAACAGGCACAGAAGAATAAGGACATTAGGACACATACAGCACATACATTATTACACACACATATTCCACATAACCTTTCAGGCTCATTACTAGGAGTAGTACATAAGTTTGAATTTCCATACTGAAGTTATTGAACTGACACCACTTACACATTTAATTTCCAGTTCAGTGAAGAGACGCCCGGTCATAAACATGCGTAGAGGGATAGTGAGGATGAGTATGAAGGGCAGTGCGAGGGATACTGGGCTGGACTTCACAATCCAGAGAAGTGCAAGGCACACTATCTGGATGGCCGTGAACAAGTGCATTCGCCCTGTGCTCACCTGTGTACGAAATATGCAAACATTAGTTATACAAACATAACTGTAGAGATGGATGTGTTTTAGCTACACTAGCAGCACGACCAGTAATGTCCATCTGTCTGTCGGTCCACCACTTTGATCCAGCGTGAAAAGTCTCAATGGATTCTATTCAATGGTCTATTCAATGGATTTCCATGAAATTTTAGAAGGACATTTATGTTCCCCAGAAGATAAATCCTTTTCCAAATGACTTTGGTGACTTCACTTGTGTTTTCTCTAGCACGACCATGAGGTTCACATTTATAGTTTTTAGTTAAACGTCTTAACTGTTGGATGGATTGGCACAACATTTACTACACACATTCATGTTCCCCAGAGGATGAACTGTAAAAACTCTGACGATCCTCTGACTTTTCATCTATCACGTTTTCATTTTTTTCTAGTGCTTTGGTTTATGATAAAATACCTGCAAAACTAAGTACATTCCATCAGCCTCAGCTTTACCATTTGTGTAATGCTAATTAGTAAATGTTAGCACGCTCAGACAAAACTACGATGGTGAATATTATAATTGCCTAACACAGGATGTTAGCATTGTCATCATGAGCATATTAGCATGCTAACATTAGAATTTAGTTTAAAGCACCACTAAATTAAAATACAGCCTAACTGAGTTGCTCACATGGCTGTACACTCTTAGTCTTGTTCTTGCTTGCCTGCTAATGAAATTTAGGGACTCTGGTCATTAAGTTATCATGGGACTCTTACTCTGGTGGCGTAGGGTTCATCAGGGTGGTATTTCTTAGGGATGAGCAGAAGCAGTATACGATCCCACAGCTGGATGCCATTTAGTGACGTGACTCCCATGTAGAGGAAGATCCCAAACAAGGCCGACATGGGGATCATCTTTAGGATTGGCTCCATCAGAATAGACAGACCTTGATACAAATTACATTCAGATAAAGGATAGTCTACTGTCTTTTAATTAAGAGTGATGAGTATCTGATATGCTCCGTTAGAAGGTATTCTCAGACTGTAAAAAGCTTTACATTGCAAATGATAAACCTGCAGTAGTCTAGACAAGCAGCTGTAGAACAGACACAAATATTGGATGATAAGACAGCACCTACCGACCAGCAAAGCCACCAGAATGCCACTGATCCTCTGCTCCATCACTTTCTCGATCACAGGTTTCGGTCCTTTGCTCATGACAGTGAGGGCATTGGCGTGGGTGACAGACCGCACCGTGGCAGCACTGAGCCACGGCACACCAAATATTGCACTGAGCCCTCCCATGCCAACTAAAACCAGCAAGTCAAAGTGGAACCCAGAGCCCTTGACCATCTTCCTCTCAGGTTTACTCACAATCAGACTGTTGACGGACACAACATTTGAGCCAAACTTTGGTAAGAGGCAGGAAATGTCACATTTTCTGAGGTTGTATTCAATGAGGGATTTTGCTGTCGTTGATGTAATGACTCACGTTGTGATCTGAGACTCCAGAAAGATGAGAATGAAGACGAGCAAGGCTGGGACACAGCATGCAAACATCAACCACACAGGGAAAGGCTTGTGCTCCCCGAAAGGGTTGATAAGCCAGCCTCTTTTGGCTGGGTTGGATACCATCAGACCTTTAGGAACCACGAGTTTCTGTGCCGAAAAACAACAGTAGTTACAATTGTGCATGTATTCAGCCTATGAACTGGAAGCTGAAAAACATTGGCCAACCTGAGTGTAGGTATCTTCAATGCTGTAGTCCACAACAATCATGAGGAAAATGGCGATAGGGACACCGAAGTCACCAATTAAACGTCGCACCTGGTGAGAACAGATCAGGAACATTACAATTGTAAATCAGCTGGCAAGAAATCTATAGGAGAACATACTACAGACTGCCTTTGAAACACACAATCACATCCGACTCACCTTTCCAGGAAGAAATGTCCCATTCTTGAACTGGCGCAGGAAAAAGGCGATAAAGAAACAGCCGAACATGAGGCACATGGAGAGCAGGGCAGTGTTGGGGTAAGGTGGCTTAATAGTGTTGACAAGAACAGTTGTATTGCCGGTAGCATTGTCATAAATGATGGTCTCGACCACCTTTGGGTGCCAGGGATTTTCCAGAGTTTCATTCAGATGATCGTAATTCAGAATCAGAGGATGCGATTTAAAGATCTAGAGAGAGGGCCAGAAGATGAAAGAAGATTATGATTTGTCCATGAGCGCTAAAATCACACATTTAGTTTGGACAGATGACATGTGGGAAATGTGTGAAGATGGTTTACCCTCCCCAGCTTGGCAAAGGTTTCATAGATGAAGATGAGGGAGATGAGGATGGAGAAGATTTCCTGGGTGAAGCGTGAGATGAAGCGCACCAGGAAGCTGCCCTCAAAGGCCACAATGATCACCACAATGATGACTAGCCACACTCCAACCCACACTCTCCCGACAATATACTCAATTTCCTGGGACCTGCAGAACTGAGTGAAGCAAACTGGGGATGAGTTTACCACAGCCACTATTAAATCTGCCGTAGTATGCATGACGATGATAGCTTGCACATTTAGTAAGTATGACAAAGTTATCACAAAAATTAACTTTAGTGGCATCATATGGATCAGCAGAGACTGTAAAAAAAATCCTCAGTTCACCTAGATGAGGATATGAGTCAGTGTTCTAACTTACAGCAAAGAAAGCTTCCTCAAACACTAACAGAGGACCGGAGAAACCAATGACCAGGACAGGCTGAGCAGCAACAAAGCAGAAGATGATCCCCTGGATGCTGGTGGAGATGAGGAGCTCTGGGACACCCATCATATTGTCCACCTTATCAGCTGAAGTGGCAAAGGAGTACAATTAGGGTCTACTGCATACAAAAGCAATGCAATGTCACATACAAATACAAACACACACCCAGCAGCCCTCCAAAGGTGATGGCAGGAGACAGGGCGGCGAAGTAGATGAAGATGACGGCAGCAAGGACCTGGGCGTTGAGAGCATCTGTGATGTCACTCTTGTAGTACTGGTAGCGTCTCTTTATGTCTCGAA